CTTTATTTTAGGGGGGACAAACAATGCCCCAAAGGAGGAGGTTAATTTCTGTTGCTAAAAAAAAAACCCCAACCCTTGGCTTTGTGGGGCCAGAGCTGCTTTGCTGCTGTGCACAAGATGTTTATTTTTACGCTGGTAAAATATTTAACGTGTAAATTAAAATCCTGCAGAGAATTTGGTAGCTTAGAATGAATCCCATTATTATCATTTCTTCTCTGATGGAAAAATTTCGTAGTGAAAAACACGTTGGAAAGGGGGAGATGTTCTTTTCCTTGTTCCTGTTTTGCTGTTTGTGCCTCTGAAAGAGCTGCTATTCCCCCACTCCCTCGTGCCCATCTGTCATCCCCAGCGTTTGGGATATTGTTTCCAAGGCTAGTTGTGATTTAACATGGATCTAAATAGGGCAAGTAGTGAAGTACACTGATTAAATCCCTCTGGGAGAAGGTGCAGGACATCTGTGGTGGTTTGCACAGTGTGGTTACTCATAACCCTGGAAGGAGAGTGTTGGAACCTCGGCAGCTCCGAGCTGGGATGAGCAGGAGCTGTGTTGGGAGCCTGTCCTAAGGAAAACAGGCACCTTGGAATTATCACAGGGGCTGTGGAAATCACAACATTCCCTACTTTTAAAAGAGAAACCTGCAAGATTATTTTTTTTCCTCCCTCCGAGGCAGGGGCTCATTTTAAATCGAAGTTGACCAGATGCTTGTGAACTGGGGAGGCTTTAATCCAGTTACAGGTTCCATCTCATTCTTGTTCCATGCCCAAAACTGATTCATGTTGTTTCAAAGGAGCAAAACCCAAAATGTCAGCACGAACAAAACCCCCCAAGTGAGCACTTAGTGAGTGCTGCAGCAGAAGACAATATTTTCATTTAAGGGGAGAGTGTGGTTTTGTAGCACAGGGAATCGTTTGGAGCCGCCAGAAAGACACTTTGAAATTTAAAAGCACTTGCCACGGCTGAGTCTGAATTTGGCAGGTGACTGTCTGCGGCTTTTCAGATGTAAAGGTGTTAAAAAAAAAAAATTAAAAAAAAAAAAGTCACACTTCAGGAACTGGGGGACACTTCTTTTGTGTGCACATGGCTCTAAAATAAATAGTCTGCCACAGAAGTTGGCGCCTTGACACCTCTGAGTATAGTCTGCTTTATAAATGACATACATATTTAGAAAGTTGGCTGACAAAATAGCATGTCTAGGAATTTCTGTGCAGTGAAGGATGTAAATGTGAAAAGGAAGACTCTGACAGACGTTTTATATATTTTTAGGGAGATTGAAGCTTCAGGTTAAAACCCACAAAATCATCCGTATTGGAGAGGAAGTACAGAAAATGCTTCTCAGGGTGAAGCTTTTAAATTAATTGGACAAAACTGACCAAACCTGGTAAAAAGAGTGATTTAGGAAGGAGATCACACCTCCCCCTTAAAACAAACAGAAAAACAAAACAAAAAAACCCCCTAAACCCCACAACCCAACCAACCCACATCCCAACCCCAACCCCTGCCAGCAGAGCACAAATAGCAGTTTATTAGTACAGTGGCATATTTTTGGTTGCAACCTTATCCAGAGACCTTTCTGTAAAAAAAACTGATTAAAAAAGTTACACATCCCATTGTAAATGATATTTTTGTCCCTGCTTTCTTTACTTGTGGAGGCTCCAAGTTATTCCATGGGCAGCATCCCACGATTCCATGACCAAGAGCCAGTCAGCACCGTGGAGCCACGAGTCTGAGAATCTTTAAAGACTGGCCATCTTCATCCATCTTCTCATTTCTAATTCCCTTCAGATGACTTATTTAATAGAACTCAGTGTTCAGAAGTTCAGGGTTGAAGTGGGTGTAGAGTCTGTGTTCATCCCACACCATTTGGCCTGGTTGTGTTTTGGTTTTATCCCCTGTTCTGGTGCAAATTCTAACTTCATGTTTTTTCTCCAGAGTTTTAAAAGATGCATTTTTGAACTGTGGTTCTCTGTGTTAGGAACCCCCTGTAATTCCTTTTGCTTTGTCCTGCCCTGTGCCAGCGTTTCCCCCCTGCAGGCTCAGCCTGAGCCATCAGTCCCTCTCCTGTTTGGCAGCACAGGGCCATTCATCACTTCCCTAAAAACTCCTTCGATCCAGCCCCGCCTCCCGAAATCCAATCTCCCGGCTGAGACTCTGATTGCAGGGGAGGAAATGTTGTTGTTCTCCTTCGTGTGCCGGAGAAACCTCAAAACCCCTGGAATGAAGCACAGGGAGGGGAACAACTGAGGCATTCCGAGGGGTTCCCACTCGGAGTGGGAAGTGAAATATCTTCCCATCAAATTCCAACGCTTCAGCTGGCAGAAAGCTCCAACCTTGTGTGTAGATGTTATCCTTTTTTTTTTTTAAACTGTGGGATTTTTGAGTGATGAGGTGATAAAATGCTGCCAAACACAGTAAATGCTTTGCCTGCCTCCTTTGTGTGTTCATGTGTGAATATTCCTGATGAGCTCCTGGGTAATCCCCTGCTAGCCCATTTCTTTAGTGCATATTGGGCAGCATTGGCAGTGAAGCTTCCAGGGGATGTGGCAAAAAACTTCTCTTTGCTTTGGCTGAATGGCAAAAAAGGGTATTTTGGGGGGAGGGCAGAGGGTGAGGTGGTCCCTTATGGCAGCAAGTGGGAAAACCTCACTTCCAGGCACTGATTTCTTCTCTCCAGAGTATCTGAACCCTTTGGAAGTGCTGACCTTGGCCTCATCCCTGCTCTGCTAAAAGCCCTGTGCTGTTCTAGGGTAGAATTAGAAACAGAGAGAGGGAAGTGGGGTGATGGCATCACCACCTCCTTTAGAGCCTTGGCCTAATTCACAGAAAAGCTGTGACCTCCCAGCTCCCTGTGATGCCAAGGAAGCAGTGAAAACATTTCAGTGTTGATCCCTTTTTGTTGGAATATCATCCCAGTGTGTGCAGATGTAAAGGATGTATCTTTACACAGAATTTGTACACCCTCAGAATTCCTTCTGCAAAACTGTCCCCTCTTAGCAGAGTTGCAGCCTTTCATTCATCATTTGCTACCTTTGTCCTCTACTTTTTTTCCAAAATATAATAATTTACTCTCTTTTCTTGGATCTCTCCATTGGCTGCTCGTTGTTGTTCAGACTTGGGATGGTTTGGTTTGTAGGTAACTCTTTGTAAGTGCCTTCCATTCCTGATTTCTAGTCCTCCTCCTCCCCCTGATATCATTTGCTATTCAAAACCACCTCCACCACCAAGTCCCAGAGTGGATTTTTCAGTCCACCTTCCTGGTTCCCCATACAGATGCACTTGTGCCTCCTTCCCACTGCTCCTTGGAGGGTTGTATTATTTGAGAGCCCCCTGACTTCAGTGGCACAAACCCAGCAAATCAAAGCATTAAGCTGTTATTGCTTGTTGTAAACTGCCCTCATATAAAAGGGAGTGGGATTTTGTGCCACAGAGGGATGGTTTGTGTGTTCAGCACGAGAGTGGGGGCTTTCTCCTCCCACCTAAGGAATGCAGAGAGAATTCCCAGAGAACTGCTTGGGCTGTTGGGATGTTTCCCATCATTTCAAGCAGTCCCTGTTAGCACTTGGTGAGAGGGTAACAGATTATTTCCTTGTACTTATTTTGTCTCCAGGATTCAGGGAGGCTGCTCACAAAAGCTGTGCTGCAGGAGAACAGACGAGTCTGCAACCCCAATTTTGGAACAGCAGGCGCCAGAAATCAGAGCTGCCTCTCACTCCTTGTCCTTTTGATGTTTTCATGCATTAGACAAGCTCGTTGGCTTTGATTGCAAACGTGTTATTTAAAAAAAAAAAAAACCAACCCAACAGAGCAGGATCAGGTTTCTCCTGTACAGCCCAAGTGTTGTTCTTGAATGGGCTTTGAGGATTCAAGAGCATCTCGTGTGGAAGTGGTGGATCAGTCACAAACTTTTCTGGCACAATGCTGCCACTGGCAGTGGTTTTCTGGTATTGCACGTGGTTCTCATCAAAGGCTTCACCAAGTGCTTTCAATGGGAAGGTTTTGATGTTGTTTGGGAAGCAGAATCGCTGTAACAGCAACAGGAGAGACAACAGGAACCTTCCGGGCCAGTAACCTGTGGTTTAACTTGGAAATGTCAAATGTTTTAGGAGCAATCCTAGAAGGGTCTGGAGAATTGTAATCCGGAAAAACACGAACTTGCAGTTGCCTCATGCCAAAAGAATGTTATTTTCCCTCCAGGCTTTTGTTTCTTCAAGTGTTTTGGAACAGCAGAAGGAATTGCTGACCGAGGGGTTCAGAGATAAACTGAAGCAGAGTCTGTAATGACTTGATCTAAAAATTCTCTTTTTAAGTGGTGGTTGTGCTTCAGTTTCCTTCTAAGAAGGAACAAATTGGTGGCTGGAGAGTCTCAATGAAAAAGGAGCATTTGAAGAAGATAGTTCTGTGTAAATTTTGCTGTGAGGTTCATGAGCAGTCAGAGCCTGTAATTATTGTGATTGAAGTGCAGTATCCTATTCTTCTGTGTAATAAAGAACATCTATGATTATGTCTGAATCCATCTGTCCCTGGGGGAGGGAAAATTCTATTATCTCTTAGTTTCAACTATTAAAAAAGAGTTGCATTGAATTATGTTACTATTGGTATTCTTTTTTGCATGTTTGGCCATAAATACTTCATGGCTGTAGAAATAGCAGACTAAGACCATGCTGCATGAGGCCAGAAATTCCAATCCTTTTCTAATCCCTGCCTTTTCTTTTCTCGGGTTAATTAATGTGAGTGAATAGATTAGTGTTTGCTGGTCAGATGCACAGAGAGACACAACTGCAGGAGGTTCTTGTTGCCTTTGAAAATCCATCTGTCCCTCAGCACGTTTCTCCGGTTCGGCGTCATGGAAACGCTTTCCTCCTTTTTGGGTTTTTCCTCCTTTTTGGGGTTTTTCCTCCTTTTTTGGGTTTCATCTCAGGTTTCAGTGTGGAAAACTTAGAAGGTTGTGTCAGGTGTGGTGCGATTTCCCTTTTTAGTAATGCCTTTAGACCTTGTTTTTCAGAGCAAACGGGACCATCTCCTCATGAACGTCAAGTGGTACTATCGCCAGTCGGAGGTCCCGGACTCTGTCTATCAGCACTTGGTCCAGGACAGGCACAACGAGAATGGTAAGTCAGGCTTTCCAGAGCCAGGCCTGCTTTGCCTTGCTCTCAGTTTGAAGTTTTACCAAAGCAAGAACACTTTTGCATAGGGGTGTGAAGCAATCCATCAGCTGGTGGTGTTTCTGCCCTGCCTGGTTTAACTCCTGTACCCACAGCTGTAATCAGATGCATTTCTGTGATGGATTAAACAGAGATAAGAGAAAACAAACCCAACACTGAATCTTTTGCAGGCTTTCTGTGCTAATAACTGAGTGAAGACCAAATTATCCAAAGGAATTGTGACTCTCTCCTGATTTTTGTGCAGAACTGGGTGTTTTCCATTCCTGCCCCTCACCCCCGTGAATATTGCAGGAAGGGATGGAACTGGAACACTCCCAGCTGCGTTTCCCCTTCTCTCTTTGCAAAAACAAGTGTGATCTTGGGTTTAACAGAAGCAGAAGAAACTTCAGTGTACATATCCCAGTGCCATTTATCTCTTGCCTCCAGGGAAGACATAACATTTGCTTCTGTTCTTACCAGGGAAGTTCCTCGAGGCAACTGTTCAAAATTCTGAAGATACTCCAAGGTGAACTGTGATGATAAAAGTTGATGATTGAAATATGGAACACAGCAACTTTTCTGGTGCCTGACAGTACAAAGTTGAGCACGAGTTCTCCTTTTAAAGGACATTCTGTGTGTGCTTTTTAGCAAAAGCCCCACAAATCTTAACGTTTCTCTTACTAATTTATTCGAAACTTCTGAGGATGAGATTACAGGCCCAGTGTCAGGCAGGGAGCAGTTTTGATAGCATGGCTGCTTTTTTATGCACTCCTGGGCGAGTGTTTTCGTGCTCCTCAAAGGGGTTATGAAGAAGTCATGGAAAAAGTTGTGTTGTGTTCCAGTTTTTTGTTAACACTCAGAATTTTCGGTGTTTCAACACGAATATCAATATTTACCTCAAAAGCCAGAGGACTAAGCAGTTAGTGCTGTCAAGATTCAGTTGAAGATTTGACATTAAATATGCAAAACAGCCCAAACCTTATCCTGGAAAAGTCAGTAACAATTTAATTTCCTTATGTCCTTCCACCTGAATTCGTTCCCCCTAGGAGTGAGTGACAGTTTCCAGTGGTCAGTGGATAAATGTGTCATCATTTTTCCTTAAAAGCTCTTTCCCTTCCAAAGATTTTTAGGTATGGCAAGGGAGAATTGATGTATAAGAATGGATATGCCATTCTTACACATTAATTCTCATATCCCATCCTTTACAGGCCACATTAACAGAGTGTTTGTCACCTTAATTAACCTGAGTGTGTTATCTGAGGACCATCCTCACACTTTGACCTGTAAAAACCACCTGCAGACCAGCTAACGAGTCGGGGGGTTGTGTTTGTGCTTTCTGGCAGACTCTGGACGAGAGCTGGTTATCACAGACCCCGTTATCAAGAACAGAGAGCTCTTCATTTCCGATTATGTGGACACTTACCACGCTGCTGCCCTCAGGTGAGACCCTGCGGGCTGAGGGGGGTGAGAGAACCCTCAGTGACACCAGAGGGGCTTTACTGGGTTTGTGTGGGGTCATTAACACCCAGCTCAGCCTTCTCCTCCTCTCCCGCGGTAATTAACTGGCGTTATCTGCTCTCAGTCAGCACCGAGCTGTAATTGTTCAGTTTTAATCTCGGTTAATCGATGTTGCTCAGAAGATATTGTTTGCCGGCGTTGCCAGCTGAGGTCATGGCTGGTTCCTGAGGCAGCGCTGCCCTTCCCTGCTCGGGGTTTGATTGCCCTGGTAACGGTGGCATCTCCTGCAGCCCGGACTGCCGGGGTGTCGCCCTGATTAAATTGTGTTAAAAGGCTTTTTCTCCCGGGCCCTTGTCATTGTCACAGCTCAGAGCTCTGCCTGCACACCCAGAGGGAGCTGTTCCTGCTCCCTGCCCTTCCCCGGGGGCTGCTGCTCTTGCTCACCCGGTGTTTGCTGGGCTGTCCGAGCTGAGGGGGACACGCCACCACTGCCAAGTGTTTTCGGAGAAAAACAGCCAGGCCTTATTTTTCAGCTGATTTTCAGCCTGCCAAACATGCCTGGATATTGTCAAAATGCAAATTGAATAATCTCCCTGCTAATAATGCTCAGATGGTGTTTCACCAGAGCCATCTGGAGACATTTTTGTGCTCAGAGTCACTTTGCTGAAGCCACTTTACTTCAAGACAAACTTAGCTCCTGTTCTATTGGGGGAGGAAGTCTTTGATTTATGTATTAGACTTCTTTTATAAACTCAGAGCATTCCAGGGGTGTGCTACAAGCTCGTGGAATTCCACAGTGCCTTTGCAGAGTTACAGGAGGTCGATTTGCAATATTAAATGAGCATTCCCAGAGAGCAGCTAGCAGGAGGTTGGCTGTCCTGATGGAACCAAGCTGGAAATCTGTCTGCTTCAACAGAGAGAAACTCAACTGTGTGTCTGGAATTTTCCCTGGGAGTATCTTACCTTCTCTTCTACATCCTTTCTGGTTTTTTATTTTATTTTTTTTTTTTTTCTTTTTAAAGAAAAGATAGAAATGGAAAGTTAAAAATGGAATTTACACGTATGGCAAACAAACTAGATAAATAACCTTCTCCCAGTGGACAAGTTGAACATCAGGATAATGGCACGTGGTGTTCTCAGTGAGAACGTGGAGTGGGCAGAGTGTGTCGTGATGCATGGAAGGTTAACATGAAATTCTAATTTATTATAATACCAGATGATTCCTCTGCCCTCTGCAAACAAATGGACACAGGATGAATTGATGACAGACTGGGAAATAAAACCAGTGATTGTAACTACCAATCCTCTGCTCCAACAGGTGGAAAAATTTAACTGGAGCAGAGTTGTAGCTCCCTGTGGAAGTGTGTAATAAAAATGATGTGCTTAATTTTACCTGTATGGATCTTTGTGGTGAGTGCAGCACTCCTTGTGTGAAATGCTGTGAACAAGATGTGCTGCTGCCACTGACACAGATAATGCAGCTTAGCTGGCAAATGCTTATTAACTGTCAGCTGAATTATTGAAAGGAAACTCGATCTCTTTCCCCAGAACGCTTTTAAAATGTGAATTTAATGCGAATTATCAAAACAAATCCCCCTTCTCGTTTTCTGTCGTTCTAAATGACTAAACCAGGAAACCAGCAGCAGCCACCGGGGAGAAAATGGGTGTCAGGGAGGAGTTTGGCCTTGAGTGTTTGTGTGGGATGGGTGTTCACACCTTGCTCATGTTCCATCAGAGCCTGGCACGGCCTTGGCAGTACCCAGGCTCTCTGTGCTTTGCCAGCAGGGCCATGCACTGGGAATTGGGCAATGCCAGGGGCAGTTCTGCAGGATCCCAGTATCGATTTTGGCTTCAAACAGCAGCACCTTTATTCCTCCTTCATCCTCCCAGGGGGTGTTTCCCTCACCTGCAGCAGGTGAAGTGTTGGAGAGCTCACCTTCCCAGGCAGTTCTTAGCTGGCTGTTGACTGGGAAAGCCTTTTTAAAGTGCTTTACCCTGAAAAGATTAGGAAGGGAAGCAAGTCCAGCATTTCAGCTTCCCCTGTGCAGTTGTTCAGGGATGCAGTTGTTCAAGGATGAGGTGTTTTCCCAGCTCTGCTGAGCAGCCTGGGCAAAATAATGATTATTGCAGGCAAAAATAATGATTCATCTCAGCGTCCTGGTGGCAAGAGCACTCCTCATTCCATTTGGACCAGGACTGGCAAACCTTTAACAGTGTTAAATAAGCTCCGTAGCAGCTTATTTATAACAGTGAATACTGTTCAGTAAATGCAAGGGAGAGGAGATGCTATCAGTCTGCAAAAGAGCCAAGTCTTGTGCTTTGGTTTATTGCCTCGACTCAGGTTTAGATAAAAAGCCCCAGCTCTGCCTCTCTGGCCCATTTGTCTCTGCCTGCTCCTGATCTGATTTACTGAGAGGCAGCAAAGTGGGATGTGCTGCTGCCAGAGCACGAGCAGCTGTGGAACATAAAGAGCCCAACAAACCCTCTAGGAAATGAGAAACAACTTCTTAGAGTCAGTCTGAATGCTCTTCTTAAAGATAATGACTTCATCAGCGAGCTGTATTAAAGAAATTATTAGCAATCTGTGGTGGAACAAGCTAATAAATCCTCAGGTCTCCTTTTTTCCCCCTTCATTTTTTTTAATATGTCTTTGTGTGTTTTACTCTCTTAGGTACAAAAGGAGAAGGGAGAAACTTCTGTCTGTTTGGAATTTGTATTGTTGGGATTGCAGACTTGCTAAAAACGGCACAGCTTTGCTTTTTGTTTGGAGCTTTTATTAAACTGTGGTTTTATTTAGCTTTCTAAATACAAAGCTGACTTCCCAGTCTGACTCCAACAATGTGAACAGTACAATTTTGGAAGATTGAAGTGTAATAAGACTGTAAAAACTTCGAAAATTAGATATTTTCAGGCTTGTATTTCTAGGTATTGTTCATTAGTCTGATTAAATTTGGGCTCCTTGGACTCTGTGCTGGCTAAAGGAGGATTAATGATTGTTTGGAGAACACCATCTGAGACACTGTAACTGGATTTCCTTCCCTTTCCACCGTGGGAAAGAATCCACATGGTTATTTGTTACAACAGGCTGGTATTTATGATGTTTTTGGACATTTATGAGAACGAGGATGCCTGTGGCTCATACACAGATTGCAGTGGCACTTAATTAAAATAGCTGTTATTCAAGCAAGAATTCTAATGCCATTTTCCCTCTCTCTTCCAGAGGGAAGTGCAACATCTCCCATTTCTCTGACATTTTTGCTGCTAGAGAGTTCAAAGCCAGAGTGGATTCATTTTTCTACATCCTGGGCTATAATCCAGAGACAAGGTAAGTGAAGTGGCTTTTAAAGGCAACTTTACCAGTGACCTGAGCTGGGGTTCAGTCAGAGGTTGGACTTGATGATCTTGGAGGTCTTTTGCAACCTTAATTCTGTGATTCTATGACAACTACTCAAGGGGAGAAAGGTTAAAAATCCAGTGTGATGCTGATTAAAGGGAATGCAAGGGAGAAGCTCCATTTTTCTGCTGTTTATATAGAAGAAAATAGGAGTAGAAAACAAAAGTTTTGCAGTAAATCCTGATGTCCAAGTGCATCTCTGGGTAAATAATGTGCTGCTTCAAAACAGCTTCTTAGAAATGTGGATTTTTATTTTTGTTTTAAAGGTTGCAGACTTCAGCAGGAGTTCTTTGCTGTCTCATTGGCTGAATGTACACCCCTGAAAATACTTTTTACAGTACATTTGCATCTCCTGGCAAGCAAAGTTAAAATTTAGACACTTTTAAGAAATCAAATTGGAAGTTTTTAAGTGTGGGAATTCCTGCTCTCGTGTATGAATTGTCATCCAGGGTCAGCAGCAATTCCTACTCGATGCTGTGCTGGCCTAGAGAACAAATTAGAGGTACAGAAAGAACTTCTCTTTGGGAGTCAGTACATATTTGAAGGTGTGTCCAGCTCTGTTATTTCCCAGCTCTTTCAGTCTGCCTGGGATTTGTCCAGCCAGGATTTCTCAGCTGTGTTTGGAGTGTACCTTTGTTGTTTTTTGGGTCCAAACCAGGACTTGTATTTTCTTCATTTATGGAATTTTCTAAACCCAGAGAACACCTTACAAACCCCAGCCTTGAGGAGCTGGTTGTGTAGGGGCATATTTTACTGGAGTAAAAGATGAATTATGTGGAACAAGGCCTGTGCCCACTGAAAGGTGCATTGTTCCTTTCAGTGCAGAACATAATTAGCTGTGGACCTTGATTTCTAGAGGTATTGTTTGAAGTGGGGATTAGATAGGCATATAAACAATAAATATTTGAATTGTTATGTGGTAGGTTTGCTGTTCTTAATGCAGATATGGATCTTTCTGCTTCAGGGCAGAGCCAACCACGACCTGCTTGCAGTTAGGAAGAAATTCCCTGGGTGGGCATATTATTATTATGTAATTGCCTATTTATGAGGCTGCCTGCACCTTATTCTGTAGTGTCTTCAACTGTCCTTAACCCTGAGACAGGGGCCTGGAGGAGTGTGAGTTTACTCTCAGTGTAAGTCTCCAGGAGGTCTCTTGGTGGTGCGTGGTGCTGAGCTCTGGGAACGGAATATTTTAAAATAAAACATGTTAAAATACGTTTGTAACATCGTTTGTAACAATGCAAGGCATTTGTGAGGTTTTCATGGTCCACCTCTGATATTCAGCACCATCCTTGCCCCCTGTGTTTGTCACTGTTCTTCAGTCTTGGAGTCGGGGTTGAATTCTAAGCGATGTGTTTGTATTAGTGTTTAATGGATGATTTCTCTTCTGAAATGCCGTTTATGTGAGCTGTCAGGGTAGTTTTAAACCCCCTTTCTGTGTAGAAGTAGCTGCTAATTCTTCCAGCTATTAGAAAATGACTGAGCCTGAAAAGATCAATACAATGACAAAGCTTAGCACTTAGTGATCAGCTAATTACTCAGCCTGGCCAGCTCTGAAAAGTAGCTTTTTCTTCATTTGGTTGCAGCCAGTTCTTTTTTTTTTATTTTTTCACTCAAGCACGTCAAGTCTGTATTTTGTCTTGGGATGGGGGAGGTTGAGAAAAAGGAGCCAAGTCAAGGTCGCTTGATTATTTTTGACCTGTGTGTTTGCTACTGTTTTACAATGCATGTGGCTTCGAGTTCCCAAGGCCAGATTTATTTTGCTTTTGGAAGGAAAAGTATTGTAAGACACGTTTCGGGATGAGCTGTTGGTGTTTGCCTTTAAAAAAAAAACAAAACCAAAAAAAAACCCCAAACATGAAACAACTTTGTCTTCAGGTTGGTTTGCTTTTCTAAGGTAGTGTTTTATTTCACACGGAGAGGGTGGAAAATGTTCTTGGTAGCCTGAAGTAACAGCGTGTTGTAGATGAGGTTCTGAACGAGTGTGAGCCCCTCAAGTGCCTCGTTGGAATGTGGGGCAGGAAACATCTCTGCCCCAACAATCCTGAGCTGTGGGCTGTGTGTGCAGAGCTGGAGTTCCTCTGGAGTGGTTTTGTGTTCAGCATAAACTCATAAACTTCCCCAGGTCTCTCAGATCCAGCTCAGCCTGGTGGGAATCTGCTTTCTGTGTTTTCACGTGTTTGCAGAGCAACTCAAACACATCCCAGACCTCAAAAACATCCCCAGTGCCCGTGGATGTGGAATAAGAGGCCTTTTTGTTGTTGGAGCACACAGAGCTCAAGGAAAGTTTGTTTTGTCCTTTTTTTGCTGTTTGAAAACTTGCTGGTTGTAGGTTTAGCTGGAGAAATATCAACTGTCATCCTGCTGTTGTTGCTGTTGTCTGGAACTGGTAAAACTGCATTTTGGGATAACTTTTCTTTGCAGTGAGTATCAGGCAGGGTTGTGGGTTTTTTTCCTCCAGATTTCGACAAAAGACTACTCCCAGTTTCAGTAATTCTCACATCACTAAAAAAAGTCTGATTGTGGAATAAAACCCTCAGCTAATCTTAAAGCCAGAGACTGAGTGTTAACACCTTGAATAGTGTTAATGAAGCCAGTCAGTAGAGCTGCAGTGTGTTCCTGGCTCTCCAGGGTGTGGGATGCATCCACTGAGCTCATCCTGCCAGCTGAGAAAGGAAATTCATTTTACGTGGAGTACTCGAAAATAATTAATTTCATGTCTCTTCAGAGAAGTGACTGCTCTGAACTGACTAATTCCACCAACATGGAATCCCACCACTGCTTCCAGGCCTTCCTTTTGTGCTCTGACATCCTGTATGGGCTTGGAGAAAGCTCTTGGAACTGTTACTGGGGGATGCAGATGTGCCAGATGCTGCTGGTCTGTGTGATGTGCTGGAGTAAATAAAGACAGTATAAAGTTTTGTCTGCCACTGACATCTGTAAATATACAGAATGAAAGGCTACTGAATTTTTTACTTGGAACTAGAAATAACCAGGTATTATTCTACAAACAGTTTTCATGGCCATGAATGCAAATTTCTCCTCCTCAATGCTGTTTTGTGTTGTACAACAAAATAATACCAAACATTTTGGAATACATGTTTTGGGAACTGTTTGTCTGTGGTTTTATTGCACAACGTTTGCTTTTCCTTTATTTTTAATCCTTTGGAGTGTTCTTGGTGGGTGGTGACGTGAGTTAAATGAGTAGTGGGGTGTCTGAGAGGAGTGTCCCCAAGAGTGACATTGAAGGGGACTTTGTTCCTTCTTGTTCTTCATGTTACATTCTCTGGACAGGGATTTCTGTTTAAAGTCAGAATTAAGACCCTCTTTTTCCTTTATTATTTTTCCCTCCTTTCAGTGGGAAGCAGAGTGGGTGTTGTACAAGTTTCAGGTCTAGGAACAGGTGGCAAGAGTGTGTATTCTTCCAGGAAGCTGTGGAACTGTGTCAGTGGGATTTTCAGAGCTCCCTCTTCATGTTGCCCCTGTTTAGAAAAAATCTGTAGTTGAATGATCCATTGATATGTGCAACCCAAATGGGAGCAGAGGCCAGGGAGAGCTGCAGAGCTGGGGTTTGCTGTCATCTTGTCTGCTGAATGTTTAGCAGTCAGAATATTTTGATTGTAAGCACATAACAGTGCCTGGGGCAGCGCTAGAGAAATGATCATTATGGGTTTTAAATGTATCCATCCTTATGGCTCAAATCAGAGTTCTTGTTATGCTCATACTTAGTACAGCACTGACAGTTTCTGCTGTGCTTTGTTTAGATGAGACAATTCCTACAGCGAGTTGCAAGTCCAATTTTTTTTTTTTTAATAAGTTTAACAGTTTTAAACACAACCATGAATCCTCCTGATGGGAGAAACTGGGGCCTATCTGCATGATGTGCCCGTGTGATGTGGAACAGATGGTTTCTGTAGGTCCTACTGAATTACAGCAAAGTTGGTTTGTGTCACTTGTCTAATAGTGCTCAGAAGGAATTATGGAAGGTGCTGGTTACCCTCACTTTGTATCAGTTGATATTGTTGTGTTGAAGTACCTTGCAGTTGATCCCTTTTAAACAAACAGACAAAAAAACCCTCCCAAAAACTGTGTTTAGAGAAATGGATTAGTAACTTCCTTGGGTTTTTCTCTCTGGCTGATACAAGATTTACTGCTGTCACTGTGACATTATTTCCATGTGTCCATATCTCAATTTATCCCTGAGCCAAGGGGAGCATAAAGCAGAGAGTTTGTTCTCAAGTTCACATGAATTTGAGGGGTCAAAAACCTTAATTGGAACAACAGCAGCAAAAAAATTCAGGAATATATTTCTGCTGTAATTGAAGACTGGATACATTTGGCCTTACAATTGTAATTACTTAAATCAATCAGCTGGTACAGACTGGGCAGCATATTTGGAGTAGTTGTCTTTTTCTGGTCAGATGGTCTCATTCTGAATGTAATATTATAACAGAAGTGAGTTGATGGTGAGTTTATTTTTTTTTTTTAAAACTTTATAAAACTTTATCGTGTTTCTGGAAGTTTTAAATCCATAACCTCGTATAGCTTTAGTATTTAAAAAAAGAAACCCAAACCAACCATAGGAACTTTGATTGTGTTAGTTTTGAATTTTTTTACAAGCATGAGCCAGGCTCCTCTATCCTGTATCTTAGGAAATGGCACTGGATAATTTCAGCAGAGCCACAGTAGCTGGAACATTTCATTTACTGAACATTTAAATTATTATGGCACATTGATTGAAGGAGCCAAACTGTTGGTGAAGGTTCTCAAGAAGGGGGTGGGAGGCAACACAACAAGAAAGTTGTGTATCCACCCATGTTATAACAAATTTTTCTCACTGGATTGTTGTAAGAGAGGAAATCAGGGATTGTTTTGTGGCCTGATCTGTTCTGTTTAATGTGTTTGTCTGTCAAAATTCAAAATCTGAGAAA